GCCAGTGTGAAATAAGATGCAGCAAAGCCTCTATTACTTTACGCTGTCCTTGCTTTCTCTAAAAATTTGTAGGGCTTATTGTACTGTTAGAACTCTAGGACACTCCAAAAGAACATTTGTCAAATGAAAGGTTGCACTGTGAATTTAATATGTATCTTTTGAAGGTTAGGATATTGATTTACTGGACAGTGTTAGAGTTTTAAAATCTAATTCCGAGCCTGTTACCTAGGAAATTGATGAAATTGAGACATTATCAGCTAAGGTGGCTGAAAGACGCTCAGGGCATTTAGCCAAGACTGTCAGGGAGTGAGAAGGAACTTGTGTCTGTCTGTCAGTTCTTCCCAGGTTCCATATGTGCTGTTATTAAGATTGACAAGACTGAAAAGGTAAGGACACCTAACTGCTTGCATCTTGCACCCTGGCAAAGGGCCAGGGCCAAGGAGGGCTACTGTCTTGATTCCATAGTGATTGGGTGTTGGGTTGCAGTCTGTTCACATTCTCCTGTGTTAGGAAGCTGTCTGTAGAAATCAGGAAGAGAGAGTGGGCTCCATTTTGGCTAATTGTTATCATCTTACAAAGAAGGATCTAATCCAGCTTGTGCGGTTATACAAATTACAGGATATAAGTTTGAAATAGCAGGGTTGGGGGAAGGTAGGGGGAAAAGTGATTGAGAGACTTTTCTAGAGAATGAACTGCTTAAATGTTGAGAGAGAATGAGAGAGATCAGGCTGTTTCTCTTGTGACCATTGAGGTAGACAAGATGGCTTCATCCTAAAGTGTAATTCAGAAAAGCCATTCTGTAGCCCAGCACCACAATGGGCGGGGCTCTGCTCTCCACAGCTCCCTCTTGCCCCATCCAGGGCAGATGAAAAGACTGAATGGACCTTTTCTCTTTCTGGAAGTCCTCTATGAACATGATTTCTTAGCCGATGTCTGTTAGCTATTGGGCAGCACAGATTCCAATGTAGTACTCAGCTATAAAGGACTTGGATTATTACGTTCTGTGTTGTCACTTAATAATGCTCTTAAATTTTAAAAATGCATTTGCTTTATGAGCTGTTGAGTTGATAGACATCATCTTTATAAGAATTTAAGGCTCTATTCTCTGTTTCTGTATTTTGGAGAAGTTTTTTAAGTCATGAACCGCTGTTCGAAGTTTTTCTGTTCAGCGATATGCCTTCCTACACTCACCCTGCAGAGCTAATGTTTTTAGTCCATCATTTTATTATCTCATACGTATTCATCTCATACACACTATTCTCTCATTTAGCATATTGTGTTGTAATTCTATGTCTGTGTCTCCTGCTAGGCTGTGAGTGCCTCAGGGCTGGGTCTTGGTTTCCCACCCCCCGCATGCCCCAGGACAGGGTCTGACCCAATATAGAAAGAACCTGTACAGTGGGTATTCCATAAATGTTGAATGAATTATACCCCAGGTTTAGAGCCTAGATACATTTTAGATGTAGGCCTTAAAACTGGGGTATTGTGTTGGGACGCCTGGGTGGCTCAGTCAGTTAAATGTCTGCCTTCGGCTCAGATCATGATCCCAAGGGCCTGGGTTGGGCCCGGAATTGAGTCCCGCATCATGCTCCCTGCTCAGCAGAGAGCCTGCTTCTCCATCTGCCCCTCCCCTCGTGTTCTCTCTCTCTCTCAAATAAATAAATAATAAATAATTAAAAAAACTGGGGTATTGTGTTCACTGGAAAATTCTTATGCCTTTTTTACTTTTTGTGGGGTAGCCGCCTGCTGTGCTTCATGGTGACAACATATGTGCTGTGTTTGATTGCTTGTTGATAATGAGCAGTGACAAGGCCATCATAGTATGACTGCTTGGTTCCAAGGTTCTTTCTTTCCCTTGGTTGAGGGTAAGTAGGTTTTACATTTTAAGATGTTAGCTTATGAAACCTGGTGGCTCATGTTTATTATTTATGTTCTGGGGCATTTATCACTGTCTGACCTCTGTAACCCCTGGCTTCCATTTGGATCAAATGAGATTTGTGCGTGGTGAGCGCTGGATTGACGCCTAGCAGATCTAATGTGCAGTGAGCTGATTGAACAGCCTTTGACTGTCCTGATTCCCTTTTTGGCTGCAGAATTGTAATTTCTAACTCATCTCAGAATCTTTATTACACTTTTTCAATGCACAAATCTGATTGCTCTCAAGGAAAGAGATCTATTTTAAAATTACATAGATTATTATTAATGGGAAATTTCCCCCCGTTAACCAATCTTTATTCCATTTAGTTAAAAGCTCCTGGTATTTGTTTATTTATTTGTTTCCTAAGTAAGCTCCACACCCAGTGTGGGGACCAACATTGGGCTTGAACTCAAGACCCTGAAATCAAGACCTGAGTGGAGATCAAGACTTGGGACACTTTAACCGACTGAGACCCCCAGGCACGTACCCTGTTTTTTTTGGTTTTGTTTTGTTTTGTTTTATGACTTAAAAACATTCTGGAGGCAAAGCAAAACAAAAAATGAATTGGTTTAAAGAATCTATAAAATTTGTTTTCTAGGGATGATGATGTTAGGAGAGAGGAGGAAGCGCTCTTCCAACTTCTGTTTCTTTTTAGTTTCAAGCTGAGGTTAGACAGAAAGTAGTAAGACCAGGGGCCTATTCCATACCCTCCTTTCCTGTCCCAAGCACTTAGTGAGGCTTCATGTGTAGGTGTGATGTAAGGGCTGAAACGAAGGCCTAATACCATGTGTACCTTGACCTCTAGAAGAGCCTCTAATGGCCACTAACCCTCCCGAACCTCAGCTGGCTGACACCTTGCTTTTAGCCTTGGAGCAAAGAAACCAACTGATCTACAGAACTTGGGCAGCAATAGAAACCTGATGCAAGGGTTTATGGTTATTTGTATGTGTTTTCCTTGGTTTTATCCTCTTCGGAAAAATCCAGGAATAGTCAGACCTTTTTACTGAACATAAATGGCAAGACACATTCCATCCACCTGTTTCTATGTCATCGGAAGCATCCATTGCTTTATATACTTAAAGGGAAAGGGTCTGTTCTGTGTCCAGCACACAGCTTAACATTTGGATTGATTTTCCTCTATTTGGATGAATTAGTGTTTCACTAGGATCCATTATTATTTTTTTTACTTATTTTTTAAGATTTTATTTGTCAGAGAGAGAGAGAGAGAGCACAAGCAGGGGGAGTGGCAGGCAGAGGGAGAAGCAGGCTCCCTGATGAGCAGATGAGCAAGGAGCCTGATGTGGGACTCGATCCCAGGACCCTGGGATCATGACCTGAGCCGAAGGCAGACACTTAACCGACTGAGCCACCCAGGTGTCCCCCTAGGGTCCATTATTTTCACACCAAAACCACATCTTTAATCACTGTGGGCTCTGAAAGCACTTCACAGATTACAGCCTCTGCTTCAAATACCTTTATTTTAAAAGTGAGTGATTCTGCACCTTTAAAAAATGAGAAATGATAAGAACCAGAATAATGAACATTACAAGTTGCTACATTTATATATATCGGATACTTTACCTTTTTAAAAAGTTGAGAAATGGAAATTGCTGTATGAGTGGCAAATAGCAAAGATGATGTATACAGGGAGAGGTCAGTAATGTAACAAAATCTTACAATATGACTATGATGTACATTTAGTGTGAATAATCGTTACATAGTTAGGAATAAGTGGTAAGGGGATTGTGTAAGGTATTATAATTACACTGTATAATCACTGCTATTGTTATACAACAGAGCAAGTAATTCTGCCCTCAGTGCAGGGGCAGGGAAAGGGGAACTGGGCAGGAAGATTCTCTTGGACTCTTCCTCGACCTTTGATTCCTGACCCGGAGGTGTCAGGGGAGTGTGAATGTTTTCACCACAGCAAACACAAGGGTGCTGGGAATAAAGTGGTTCAAGGTGGGCCAGATCCTACTCCCTACTATGAGAATTGCCCCTTCTTCATTTAGGAATATGTGAAAATGGAAACTGGTAAGTTTGGCCCTTGGGATCTCCAGCTCTTGACCCACAAGGCACAGGAATCCTTGTGTACTTCAGTGGAATCCCTGATGCTCCCCCCTCTGTGCTTCCTTATTTCTCCCAGATGGAGGAACAGGGCTGAAGGATTATTGTTCCTTGTGTGTGTGTGTGTGTGTGTGTGTGTGTGTGTGTGTGTGATTTTATTTCACAAAGGTAAGATGTAAAGGAAGATATCTTCCCAGGACCAAAAATTCTCCCATTACTGTCTGAAGTTCTGTTCCTTAGAGATTAACTTGAATTCATAAGCAAGTACCTTTGATTGGCTAAAGATGTTTAATAAGAAAGACCCTCACACTTTAATAATAATGATCACTAGCATGTGCTGCATATGTAGTATGGAACAGGGACTATTCTAAAGACTTTGTAGGAATTAATGTATTAATCCGCACAGTAAGCCTATGAGGAAGGTTTGGAGAAGTCCAGAAACTTGTTCCAAGTTCCATGGTGATGACGAGGGGAGAGCCAGGACTGAATCCTGCTGGGTCTGCTCTGGGACTCTGACCCTCAGCCACTGTGCCGAGTTGCGTTTCCTGGATACTTAATGAGGATTTAATTTAATTTGCTTTCTTCCAAATGTCTAGCAGTGCTACCTATAAGGGATAGGATAGGAAGTGAAGAGGGTGAGGACATTGGAGGAGGAGAAATGACTGTAGGGCACTTGTGATGGGAACTTTGGAAAGAGATGTGGGGAGCATTCTATGTAGCCATCATTTTCTTGCTCATCAGCATCTTGATATTACTGACCTTAAAATCAGTATGAGAACTTCACCAAGAACCTACAACAACTGTTGCTGTTCTCTGCTTCTGAATATCAACATCGTTTTTCTTCTAGTCTTCTAGCTGCAGAAAGCTCTTACATATATTTTCTGTGTATATGTGATAAGTTAAATATTATTATTTAAATGTCATTTAAAATAACACTTTGCAAATATTCTTGAAGTGAAGGTCAATGAAAAACAACTAACTTCTATAATTTACCCTTTTTTTTTTCCTCTCACAGTATTGGCTGGATCCTGCAAAAACCCTTGCCGAACACAAAGAACTGATCAACAGTAGGTATTTAATGTTAATTTTGTTACGGGGTGCCTTGAAAATAATATAACGTCCATGATTAGTTGGGCGCAGAAATACCCTTTAGTACTACAGGGGTGAGTACTAAAGTACCAGAATATGGAAATGGGTACTGGTACTCAAGTACCAAGAATATGGAAATAGGTGTTGTGTGCATTGCCAGATGTTTCCTCTAAACTCTGATTAAATTTTAGTTAATAAAGACTCTAAGTGGTGGATCTTAATATTGAATTTGCTTGGAGTATATCTGCCTTTGACTTGTCAGTGATTTTAAAAAATTTCCTGTCTTTAAAATTTTACCTTAAAAAGAAAAGGCAGAGAGGCATTGATTTGAAAAAAAGGTAGACATCTGACCTTCTAAAGAGCTTGAGTTTCTTGTGTTAAGGAGTAGTTTTGTCATTCACACTATTATTTGCTGGGTCAGTAATAAGGAGTGCCCTTGTGTCCTAAAAGATTTCTGTGGCTTCAGAAAGGACCCATCTATTTTTGGTTTTACAAATATGAATCTTATTAGGTAACTGAGAGTATAATTAAGGTTATATTCTATAACTTCAATTTCCATAACCCAGGTTTTCACTTATAGAAGTATATGCATGCATGCACACGCCTGCGATCCTTAAGTATGCAACAGAGTAATTTTTTAAAATCATCTTTTTAAAAATATGGTAAAAATATATAACACAAAATGTACCATGTTAACCAGTTTTGAGTGGCATTAAATACATTCATTGTGCAACCGTTACCACTGTCCAAAATTTTTTCATCATCCCAAAGTGAAACTGTGTACTCATTAAGCCATTTTGCTTTACTGTGAAAATTATTTCTAGTAAGATGTAGTAGATTCTTTGGGCCTTTATTACGCCCATCTGACTCTGTACTTCACATGTTTATTGGCTTATTCCCCGTGGTAAAATTGGTTGCTTCACAAACCCTACAGGCAGGAATGTAGCTGCGCCTCAGAAAGCAACTGGAAACTAGGAACTGCAAAACTATCAGGAGCTCAGCAAGTACTGTTTCTCTGAACGTCAGCATCATTTGTGTTTCTCTCTGTTTATCCATGTCTGTGGGGAAACTTCTAGCCACAAGCAGAGGTTGACTGGCGGCCTCTGAATGTGAGGCCCCAATTCTACAGAGGATGCAGAGGATGCATCTGACCAGCCCAGTGTGAGTCAGTGGCTCACCTCAGTCTACTCAGCTATGTCTTGGCTTCTTCAAGGTTATATAAACGTAGCTGTTAAGGGGCCAGCCTTCTGGATAAGACTATGTGACGGTTTCAGAAACGGGCTTGTGGCTAACCTGTGGGGGTGAGAAAGAACCCTCAAAAAATGTACCTTCGATATCACCAAGTTCTGCCTACTCAGCCTACACAGGAGTAAGTCCTAATTCATAAGGGGTTCATGACTTGCCCTGGGTGAGAAGCTAGTTGGTAGCAGAGGGATGACCAGAGTCCTGGTCTTCTGACTTCTAGTACTTCTGTATTTCTAGTACTCTTCCTGAGTAAGCAAACTGCCTACTTAAGGCCAATGGGGGAGGGATGACGATACATGGAGTTAGGTATGAATGGAGGTAACTTCTGTGAGGTATCTACATATAAATGGTAGGAGTTCCAATTTAAAACGTCTCATCCCTCAGGATCTACAAATTTGTACTTTTCCCAAAAATTCAGGTATAGTAATAAATACAGTATCTGTCTTATCCATTTGAACAAAGTAGTTAAAAAAATACCAGTATAGGGGCGCCTGGGTGGCTCAGTTGGTTAAGCGACTGCCTTCGGCTCAGGTCATGATCCTGGAGTCCCGGGATCGAGTCCCGCATCGGGCTCCCTGCTCGGCAGGGAGTCTGCTTCTCCCTCTGACCCTCCCCCCTCTCATGCTCTCTCTCTCTATCTCATTCTCTCTCTCAAATAAATAAATAAAATCTTTAAAAAAAAAAAATACCAGTATAAAAGTTAGAAAAATGTCAGAAATGATTATTTTAAAACAAACTCACAGGATTTTTATTTAAGAAGTTGAGATTTCTATCTAAGTGATGAAGAAAAATATAAATTATTTAAGGTGTATTATTAGTGGTCCTAAGCACATTTGAAATATTTATCTCTTTATATGGTATGAAATATTATATTTAAATATCTATAATCTGGGGTGCCTGAGTGGCTCAGTCGTTAAGCGTCTGCCTTCGGCTCAGGTCATGATCCCAGGGTCTTGGGTTCAAGCCCCGCATCAGGCTCCCTGCTCCGCGGGAAGCCTGCTTCTTCCTCTCCCACTCCTCCTGCTTGTGTTCCCTCTCTCTCTGTGTCTCTCTCTGTCAAATAAATAAATAAAATCTTTAAAAAAATATAATCTATAATGAAACTGCTTTTTAATCCTAAATAAATGTTGTCCTGTCAAAAATTTGATGTACACTAAGAATAAAATGCCAATATTGAAGGAAGATGATGTAAATAAAGATAACATAATGTTTATATTTTATCTCATGAAATAATTTGATAATTATTATACAAATCAATGAAGGAAAATGGCGCTCACATCTCAAGTAGATTAGTCAGAAAGAATATCTGTAAAAATGATGGAGTATTTGCTAGTCACCAGAATTCTTATTGGTGGGTCTTGATTCATTTCTCCTTGAGCTCATGGAAGACTTACTATCATTAAAGGCCTTGAAATTCGTCCTCACAAAAGGTATATTAGAGGATTTCTGGCTTTTGGCTTCTGTATTTTTTTGCTAAAGTGAAACAATATTAACTTATTTAAGGTAGATTCTGTTGAAAGACATGGATGCAAGATAATAATTTAGGAATGTGCTTCATCAGCACCTGATATTTATTTGTAGTCAGTCTTAGAAGAGGAAGCCAAAAAATATCTGATCAGACGTATCCTTGCTCCAGAATGTCCATTTCCATAGCCTTAGATTGTTCTATAAAACAGTGATGTAGATGAAAGTATTTGCTTACTCTGAAGGTATTATAATTCTTTTCCCTGAAATGTTATGTGGAATAATGGCCAGAAAGTACTGAACTCTAGGTATTAACAAACTTAGTTCTCAACTTCATGATCTTAAGCAAATTGCTTACCTCCTTGGATATTCATCTGCCTTTTCTATGTTAACCAGGTGGTTGTTCAAAATCACGTTTATGAAATATTGTTATACATTATTAAATGTAGTCAAGTGGTAGTGATGCATTATATTTAGAACACAAATCATTTTATATGCAATTGGGAAATTAGAGGGCTGATTTGGGCTAAAGGTCCTTTAAGGAAATTTGCCCCAAACTGAGTGTTCTTAATTGTGTATTTTTCAAACTCCTGCTTAATGCTCATCACTAAACACATTTGAAATGGTTAGGCTTGGTCAATAGGGTGTAGTCTGTCACGTTGTGGAGAATAAAAGCAACTCTGGAATCTGGACAAGGCCTTCTTCCCTTTGTGCACTGTCTCCACAGCATCTGTGCTCCTCCTGGCCCCTAGATCCCAGCCCCCGTGGCCTGCGGGCACAGGCGGACCCATCTGCTCAGCAACACAGAGCTTGATTGACAGAGATGGATCAGCAGACCGTGGACTTCCTGGCTCTTCTAAATATTTAATAGTCTGTGCCTCCCTGACATCTATGTTCAGGGCTAAAGGTGTATTTGTCAGAAATATAAACACCGTGGTTAAGTAACCATAGAAATCAAACATATAGAATCAACTCTAATGATAAGAAGTTATAACAGAGTTCTTTGAAACTCAGTTCTTCAAAATGCTGTAGCTTAAGGAATGCCTTGTCCAGAGAGGCACAGATGAGGGGAGAGGTTCAGGGCCCTGCTGTCACTTTTATGCATGCCAGGAACAGGCTTTGGGGTTCTACAGACATAGCGTATGTGTGTCATAAGAACAATAAATAATAATGTAGTTTGTGTATTAAAAATGCATTATGGCTTTATGACCTGTTCTACTTAATTTGCTTTCCCCAACTTCTGAACTTGTCATTTTTTTTACTCCGTAAAAATGAAAATAGAAAGAGGAGGGTTACTTTGTGTCAGTTACATACTATCAGAGACTTGGGCTCACAATATGTGAGTGGAAATATTTTAACTGAGGTGTATACTTCACATCTTTTTTTGTGTGTGTGAGAGAGCTTTTGTTGAAGAAAAAATTAGAAATTATGACCACTGATTAATACACCAGGTAAGAAATCCATTTTAAACAGATTTAATATAAGATCTAATTACCACACTGGTCAGAAGTTTTGGAAGCAGTATAGGTTAGATTCATACCCTCTGAAATAGAACTATTTCTAGTAAGAGTATGATGTGGTTGGCACCCCTTGGGTATTTTTGCACAATATGAATGTTTAATTATATTTTAGGTTTCCCCATGTAAGTACAATTCCAGGCTTTATTTCATATATATATTTGGTATTTGTGCGTGTTGTTCTTCTGTATGTAGTAAATGACTGAGATAAGAAATATATTATTAAATATACAAGAGCACATTCTTAGAAAAGTTTAGGAATTAAACAAATATTGCCTATAATCCTACCACATAGCCTCACTGATTTTTTTTTTTTCTTAAAAAGGTGAGAGACATATATGGAAAGAAAATTACCAGTTTTGCTAAGAGTAGAATTTAAATGTTCTCATACACACACACACACACACACACACACACACACACAAAGTAAATATGTGAGGGATGGATGTGTCAATTAACTTGATAAGGGAAATCCTTTCATAATGTATAAGTATACCAAATCATCACATTGCATACTTTAAATGTATTACAATGTAATTTGTCAATTATACCTCATTAAAGCTGGGGGGGGGGTAAAAAAAAGTTTCCAATTCTTCTTCCCAAAGTTTGCCAGTGTTAGTCATTTCTTGTGTATTTTTCTAGGGGGGAATACGTATTTTAATAGATAACTTTCTTTTTCACAGAAGGGATAGTATCTCTGCCATCGGAACTAGGTTGGTGATCTTTCGCAGTGAGCATAGAGTTCTCCCTCTACCCATTTAAACAGTGGCGTGGTGCCATTTGTATGTACCGTGGTTGACTCAAATGGTCCTCCTGTTGCTAAGCATTTAAGTTTTGATACTATATCAATTGTTTGGTAACAGCTTTTTGCAGATAAATTTTTTATGCTTTTTGCAATAGTAATAGGTGAGTGGTTTTAAAAAACCATTTGTTTTATCATTAATTTTTCTTTATTGTGAAAAAATACATGTATGTTGTAGAAAATGGGAAAAATGGGAAAATCATCAATAAATAAAAATTGTGCACAGCCTCACTAACTAGGGATAAGAACTGGCAGCATTCTGAAATATTTGATCTCTTTTTTCCTGTGTTTGTAAGCACATAGACCTGTACCTACATAGATACCTGCAGAGCTGAAGTCCTGTTGTTATAAAATTTTCAATCCTGTTTTTAATTTTATATTTTCTTGTGTGTTTAGAAGTTCTTAGTGAGTATAATTTTTTAAACAACTTTATTGAGGGGGTGCCTGAGTGGCACAGGTGGTTAAGTGTCAGACTCTTGGTTTCGGTTCAGGTCGTGATCTTGGGCTCATGAGATCAAGCCCTGTTTTGGGCTCCACACTCAGCATGAAGTCTGCTTGAGGTTCTCTCTCCCTCTCCCTCTGCCCCTCCTCTCCCCATGAGCTCCCTCTCTCGCAAATAAATAAATCTTTTAAAAACAACAACAAAAAACTTTATTGAGATATCTTTAACATATAAAAATCATATAAATTAAAGATGCAGAACTTGATGTTTCAATATATGTATACAGTATGAAAAGATCACCACTGTCAAGTTAAATAATTTATCTATCACCTCTACATAGTTGAGTGTGTGTGTGTGTGTATGCGTAGGTGGAGAGTGAGAAGATTTAAGATCTATCTTCTTAGCAAATTTCAAATATACAATACAGTATCATTAACTATAGTCACCATGCTTTACATTAGATCCTCAGAACTCATTCATCGTGTGTAACTGACACTTTGTAACCTTTGGCCAACATCTCATTTCTCCCTCCTACTTCTCCTGGAAACCACCATTCTACTCTCTGCATCTATGTATGTGACTATTTTAGATTCCACATATAAGTGAGATCAGTCACTATGTGTTTTTTTATGGGTCTAGCTTATTTCACTTTGCATAGTGTTCTTCAGGTTCATCTGTGTCATTTCAAATGGGAAGAGTTCCTTCTTTTTTATGGCTGAATAATATTCTATTGTGTGTGAGATATATATATATATATATACACACATATATATATAATGTATGTATATTCATTCCATTAGTTCACTGATGGACACTTGGGTTGCTTCTCTATCTTGGCTATTCTGATTAATGCTGCAATGAACATGGGAGTGTAGATACATCTTTGAGATCCTGATTTCATTTCCTTTGGATAAATACCCAGTAGTGGGATTGCTGGATCGTATGGTAGTTCTATTTTTAATTTTTTGAGGATTTCCATACTGTTTTCCATAATGACTGAACCAATTTACATTCCTAGCAACAGTATACAAGGGTTCCCTTTGTCCGTATCTTCACCAACACTTTTGTCTTATTGCTAATAGCCATTCTTATAGGTATCAGGTGATATCTCATGGTTTTGATTTGCATTTCCCTGATGATTAATGATGTTGAGTATCTTTTCATGTGTCCATTGGACATTTATATGTCTTCTTTGGAAAAATGTCTATTCTAGTCCTTTGCCCATTTTTAAATTGGGTTGTTTTATGCTATTGAGTTGTAAGAGTTCCTCATATATTTTGGATATTAACCCCTTATCCAATATGTAGTTTACAGATATTTTTGGTGAACATAATTTTTAATAATTGTATAATATTATACTTCTACTTTGATTAATTTATGAAATTAATTTCTATTTCTTATTTTAGCTGGACCTCCATATACTTTGTATTTTGGTATTAAATTCTATGCTGAAGATCCATGTAAGCTTAAAGAAGAAATAACCAGGTATAGTATTGATTTTGCTTTTGAACAATACATGTATAGCATATACAAAAGGGTTTATTTAATACAAATTGGGGTCAAACATTCAGATGGGTGTCTACCTTGTTTTGTAATGCATCCCCACTGAGAGTTAAATTTAAGGTAGCGTTGCATGAGGCAGATCACTGATGATAGATGTGTGTGAACAATGGCATGAACCCGGGTGACATGATGATAGATTTTGCATCTGCTGTGATGGGATATTTCTGTATCATTATTGTGAAGGCTGCATTCAGCCTTTGTAGTCATGTGAAAGTAGCCATTTGAACTGCTTAACGGAAGGATATTTTAATGCTTGGTTTGCATATGTAAATACCAATTTGAAGAGCCAGTTATTGCTCTTTAATTGGTTATAGCTTAAATGTCAGTTGTCCAGGGCTTTCATTTACCTCTATAGGAAATGAAAAGATATTTGCTTTTAGTATAAGGGAGAGAGAAAAAAAACCCAACCTTTTTCAATGTATTCCTTCACTTTTGTCATCAAATACTTGATTTCATTTAAGGCACGGTTTCCAGTTGGTATTGATTATATTGTTAAAAGAGTCCATGCCAACATTTGAAAGTGGCTTATACAGAGCAGACAGTAGTGTTAGGTTTTTGCTTAATTCCACTAGTGACCTGACGGCACGTGGTAGCCAACAAAAGCATTTTCCCTGACTTAACTCTAAGTGGTCACTTTTCCTAGTGAACTCCTATCATTGGCTCAAGTAAAGCCAAATGCGTTATTCCAAACATTGGAAATCATGTCTTTGATGACTAAGGTAGTCTGTGGTTTTGTTACTATTCTATCCTTTCATCTTTTTCCTTTGACTCTCTTGTCTCGATTCCAGACTGCACACAGAAGAGTGAGGAGAGAGGAGGCTAAGTGGACCTTTCCTGTTCCTCTCTGGGGTGCTATAATTAGGCCTCACTTTTAGAACCGTGCTGAGCTGCGTTCACATCTTCCATTGCCACCTTGTTACTGACCACTTTAAAAAGGAGGGCTGTCCTGGGAGGCTTTCCAGGAGCACAGCTGTATGGGGGAAGGGCTGTTGTGTTGGGAAGAAGTTAAGGAGAGGGGTCATATTTACATTAGAGCTTCATGAATAGTCTTTTCAGTTGAGGGATTTCTGAATTGTGGGCTCATGGAGAAACTGAGTCCAGGTGGTTAAAAAAAACCCCACATATCTGTAGCTCATTAGGAAATTGCAAGGAAATAACATTTTATGAAAATACAAAGAAAGGCCTTCATTTTGAGGTTGTCAGTAACCTGTGTGCCTCATATTCCTCAGCTGCAAAATTGGAGCTACACCTGTCCCATCAGGTTTTGTAAGCATTGGAGTGTGTACGACTCATAATGTCAACCTTGTGTCGCCTGTTGGGCTTGGGTCAATAAGTGCTTGATACTATTTCATCTTCTCCTTGCTCTGGCAGTTTGGTGGAGTTACATCTTAAATGAGGGTTAGGTTCCAAACGATACTCAATTTATTGTTAATAGGGTGGGAAATGAGTGTTTTATAATGCATTTTTAAAAATCTGCTCACCAGATATTAATGAGCAGAAATTTCCCTTCAGAATCTACTATCAGCTCATTAACAGAATACATAGATTTGTGTGTGATGTACAACCTCAGAACATATTCGTTGTAACCTGCTTTTCCTCAAATATTAGACCAGATCATGTAGTTAAGAACTAGATTACAGGGCTCCTGGGTGGCTCAGTTGGTTAAGCCACTGCCTTCTGCTCAGGTCATGATCCTGGAGTCCCAGGATCGAGTCTTGCATCGGGCTCCCTGCTCGGCAGGGTGTCTGCTTCTCCCTCTGACCCCCCTCCCCCAATTCTCTCTCTCAAATAAATAAATAAATAAATAATCTTAAAAAAAAAAAAAAGAACCAGATTACATTGTTGACTTTCATCTAGTGACCATGATCTATAATAATTTATTTTTGTTGCCCAAAACATATAGTTGAATTTAGGTAAGTTAATATACATTCAATATGATATCACCAAATACTTATTTTTAATGTGTCCTGAAGATAAAGTCGTTAATTTGCATGAATATGTTAATTTAAATGGGTAGGCATAATGAACCTTAGAAAGGGAGCCAGTTACATGAGATAATTTTGGCAAAAGCAGAAACTAAAACCAAAACCCCAAATCTCCCAATATATGCTCTTAAAGGAAAAGTATACTTAGGCCAGTATTTGCAAGTTGAACATTTAGCTTGCTTCAGTTCTTTGGAAAATTGTTCTAGCCTACTCTGTATTGGCTCTTGGGTGGTTCATAAGTTTTGATATGAAAACTAATGCTATAGTAAACAGGCTTATGCCTGTTCTTCCATATATGTAGTTTTTTTTTTTTATAATCATACCATTTTATACATATTATGCAGACTTCTTTCACTATCTAACCCATCTGTTTTACTCCTGTATAGCTCTAGTTTCCTTTTTTAAAATTACAGATAATGCTAGCCTTGAATCTTCTCAAGTATTTATATCATCATACTAGATGCAGAAGGGTGTTGTATTTAGGAAAAAATACTAGAGGTGAATGTGATACACAGGAAAGTAAGGATCCAGACCATGAAAAAATGGAAGTGAATAGAATCATATCAACTTGGAGTAGTTGCTAAGTGCTCTAAAAAGTTGTCTGAGATAAACAAGATTGGGAGGCTGTGAGGAGGACTCCTCATTTAGGATTCATGTGCCCTGACCTGTACCTTTTATAGAACATTCCTGATGATTCAGCCAGCTTCCTTGTAAACATTTTTAAGATAGGAAACCTTACTGCCTGGCAAAGCGATAGGAAATTCAATGAGAAATCCGTGCAGTTTCTCTCATCAGTACCAGGTTTTCTTTCTGGGTCTATGCAGAAAAAATCTAATGTCTCTTCTCTTTGCCAGCCCTTTAAATAATCTGTGTACTCATGGTATCTGTTAAACTTATTTTCAGTTCTGATTCAAAATATTATAGCAGCTTTTCACGTATTCTGGGTCATTTATAGCTCTGTATCCTCTGCACACTTGAGAAGCATAGCACACATGTTGGTTAAGAAGACAGGCTTTGGAGCAGCGCCTGGGTGGCTCAGTTGCTTAAGCATCCCACTCTTGATTTGGACTCAGGTCATGATCTCAGGGTCCTGGGATTGAGCCCCACACTGGGCTCCCCACTCAGGAGGAAGTCTGTTTGTCTCCCTCTCCCTCTGCTCCTCCCCCTGTTCACACACACTCTCTCTCTCTGAAATAAATAAATTAAAAAAAAAAAAAAAGACAGGCTTTGGAGTCAGACAGACTGAGGTTTGCATCCTTGCTCTGCCACTCACTAGTTGTGTAAATTTGAAAAAACTATGTAACCTTTTAAAGTCTCAGTTTTCTCATTTATAAAAAGAAATTAAGTATTTTTTCAAAAAGACAATCAGGGGAAGGGGGAAAAAAAGATGATGAGAGGAATATAAAGATAATACATACCAAATACTGACCGTAACGCAAAAATATAAGTGTCGGTAGATGGTAGGGCTAGCTAAAGTGAAAATAATGATAAGTATTTAATGTTTTCAAATTATTGATTCAAAAATTAAAGGGGAAAAGACCAGCTTGGAGCCCTGAGATGGGTCTTCCAGTTTAGAGTCAATCTACGAATCACAACTTTCTGGGTGTAGTTGTTAATTTAATTATGAATTCTCCTATGACTGTCCTCTTGCCTACATTTCTTGAATTTGTTTGTAAGGACAGAATTCACTCACTCACCTACCTTCATTTAATAACTACATGGAGCATTGTGTTCCAGTGGTCGGAGTACTAAGTGACCAAAGAGAGGATTTCAGTCCTCCAGAGAGGACAGAGAGACTGCCCATTCTGTGGACACTGTCCTGTCTGTGATGTCATTGAAATCTTTCTGAACTTTTAAGGATCTAAGAACAGTTTCTAAAAAAGAATATTCCAAATGACTTGTTCATAATGAATACTTTTTAGTTTCTAAAAAATACCTAAAAATGGGTATTTGCTTTTTATTTTGTTCTGTAATGTTTTATAGTATTTTTGGGGGGACTGACCTTAAGCTTATCAATTATTTTTTAAATTTTATTATTTTAATATGGTAATCCCTGTTTTTCACTTTGTGAAGATTAGCTTGTTTTAGGTTCTTTACCGACTGAGTGACCTGCAGTTACGTGTTTACTTCCAGAGTCCCTCTCCTTCTGTAATGAAGATAATGGTTCTAAATACAATAGAGTTGAGACAAGGGTCACATTCCGGTATGGATGCAAGAGAAATTTGTGAACTTTAAAGGACTATACAAATGTAAGGTGATATTATTGCTACTTGTTCCTGTATATTAATAATTCATTTTACACTTTTGAGGCGGAAGTGTTATTCCTGGTTTTGTCACGTTTTCTTGAGAATTAGTGTGTGCTTCCTCTACTGTTTTCCTCCTTAAGCTGTACACACCATTTCCCCCTGTCGCTCACATTTAAGCCTTGTCTAAAATGATTGGACTCCTATCACATGCGAGGTTCCCTCTGTGTGGGAGACAGAAAACAATCCTGCCTTCCGTATAGGGAGCTACTCTTCTCTTAGGTTCTTCACTGTCAAATTCGGCTGGCACTGAAGTCAAACTTCTGCTTGGCCCCACATTGCTCAGTTTCCTCACCAGGGGTCTCAGGTCACTGGAAGGTGCATTTCAGGTATATTGGTGTAAGCATGTCTTTGGCTTCTGAATCTCAGGGAACCTTCTTTTTTTGGTTCCGGAAAGAGTGGGGTCTCTCTGCCATGTCTTTAAGCAAACCTCCTTTGCCATTCTTCTTGCCTCTGGTACTTGTTAAATTGTTAATGGCGCTCAACAGCTTGTACATGCTTGGTGTTAACTCAGCTCTTTTCGGTGAACATCAGATAAACAGAAAACTGTGAAGCCAATATTTCAAGCCCTGGACTTGTGTTGTACTCGTTGTAGTGTTGTGGTAAGTGTGGACAGGGTGGAAGACCCAGCTCTTTTCCCCCAGGGCTCAGGATCTAGCTTGGGAGACAGTGCATATACACCAGAATATTAACTTACACACAGGGGTGCCTGGGTGGCTCAGTTGATTAAGCATCTGATGCTTGATTTCAGCTCAGGTCATGATCTCAGGGTCGTGAGATAAAGCCCCACATTGGGCTCCATGCTGGTCGTGGAGTCTGCTTAAGATTTTCTCTCTCCCTCTGTCTCGCACTTCCCCCCACTCGTATGCTTGCGCTCTCTCTCTCTTAAAAAAAAAAAAAAAAAGATAACTAGTACTTTATGATGCCTCAGTTTTGTACCAGAATGAGTCTGGAAAGCTTCCTTATTAAATGGATCATCTTTAATGAGCATTTTCTTTTTCTCCAGTAGGGTTACAATATAACCAGGGTCACACTATAATTGATCGTCCAAACCCTGATACTTTGGAGGATGACGAGGAGAGCTGTTAATACATAGGCACGTATAATAGTCATAAACAAAACTGTCCTAGGCAAACTGGGATGTAGGTTCCCCCTTATTAAAACCAGAGATAAACAAAGACTCAAGCATCCAATCATAGCCTTAATCAGAGTGACAGAGGGAAAGACTCAACAACTCTAAATCTGTAATTTAAATAAAATATTAAATTGTACCCTAAGTCTCATAAAATGGACAAAATAAGTTATATACAGTTAGTTAAAAATAGGCCCTGACATATGATAAAGTATTTGTTTAGCATATGAAAATGTGATTTTATTGTATCATAAATTTCTCATAAAAAAACTAATATGATGCTTGCTGTGATAAAGATTAATTAAATTTTTAATTAAAAATAGTTTACTTGGGGGCGCCTGGGTGGCTCAGTC